TTATTTTGTTCTGGCAATAGGTTCATTTTTCTTTTTTTTTTTCATTTGTCTTCATTTTTTTATTAGCTAATAGACCCTTGCCTCATTTTGAGGTTCCATTTCTTTGTTTCCTTCTTTGTAGTTGCTTCTTTGAAGGTTGTATTATAGATCTTTTACTGATTTTAATAGAGAAGGTTCCATACTGTTTCTCCTCTTGTCCCAAAATAACTTTATTAGGTACCGCTCAAAAAAAACCTAGCTTATGTTATTTACAATGAGAAATATGAGAAGCTTTTTTCCCTTTTGAAAAGTGTCCAATGTGGGATTCGATCCCGGTTCACGGTTGTCGGGATTCGAGGGTTTTAACCACTGGTCTACCGCCTCTTAAGGTTCTATATTATTCCAAAATCCCTTTATTAGGTACCCCTCAAAGAGAACAACCTAGTTTATGATATTTGCACGTTATGTGGCACTGGGTTTGTTGTTGACACACTTTAAAATGTTATAACACCTTGATAAAGGTTGGCGTTCAGCCAACTGAAATATTGGTAGAATAAATGATATTTTGATCCAATAGATACCTTTTTAATTAATGAATAATATGTGAAGGTTATTCACATATTAAACAAAATGTTAACGTGGGATTCAATTCCGGTTCATGACTGTCGGGAATCGAGGGTGTTACCCACTCGTCCACCGCAAGGTTCTATAGTATTCTATGCGAGTTTATACAAGTTTTAAGAGAAGAACAGAAACTGCGCTAGATATATCTACATCCGTCGTCTCCTGATATCTCCCTCTAGACCATGTCAAGTCAGTAAATCACGGTGGGGCAATAGTAGACCAACACTACACTGACCGTTCAGTAGAAGCATCAGCCTATATAGGGAGTGGGGGGTGATGAGTTAAAGTAGTTCAAAGGTACTAAAAATGAGGAAAGAAATTTAAGTAAGATCATTAAATGGAAAGAAAAAACTCATGATTGAGAAAAGATTTTGCTAGAATGAGTAGATACAATGTATACTTGTAAAACGACATTTGAAAATTATCTCGCATGTGTTTCTTTTAAACGAAAAATCGTAATTTATTTTTAAGAAGAAATAACGATTATTTCTAAAAATTTCGATTTTTCGCTTAAAAGAAACACATGCGGGATCATTTTCAAATGTTGTTTTACAATCATAAGTCGCATTATATTGTATTATAAATTACAATGTATACTTGTAAGATGAGGACAAAAGGAATTTCTTGCTAATATGTAAATAAACATTGCAAGAATCGTTAATGTAACCAATCAAAATAAACTTATCCTTCTATATGGTCCAAGTATTTATAAGGATTAGTTGCACAATCAGGTAATACATTTTATCTGAAGGCTGGCTGGCCGGCATTCATAGTTCTATGAAAAATAGACATTTCGGCCAGTTAGAGGTTTTTATTTTTTCAACAGTTCGACAAAAATCTTTTGTCTTCGTCAGGAGAAGTAAATAAAAATAAAGCATTTGGCTTTGAATATTTGAATATATGACTTTTAATAATTGTTTTTGACTCGTGCTTTAGATGTTGTACTAAATTCGAAAAATCATGTGAGAACGCCCTTGCAACCTTGGAACAATTTTAACGCCTTGCCAAATGCTTTATTTTTATTTACTTCTCCTGACGAAGACAAAAGATTTTTGTCGAAACGTTGAGAAAAATAAAAAACTATAACTGGCTGAAGTGTCTATTTTACATAGAAATAGTAATACATTTTGTTATCAAAAGTAATTTTATTTATAAAAGTCTGTGAGCGATATATATGCTGGAAGATATGATGTGAAGCTATGTCAGGAAGTAGTGTAAAATCTGAAGTCCATCAAAGATAAAAAACAAAGAAGAAGAAGAAAGAGAATAAGATAAAATAAGACTTATCTCCTTACGCCACCCATCATCTTGGCATTTGATCACAGATCGAATTTGGCGGATTAAAAAAAGCAACGCAGACGATGCCATCCACCTGGTACAGACTGGTACAGAAATAGCAGACGTGGCGCTCTGCCACCCCCATCTCCTGCGTTCAGTAAACTTCTCATTAGTAGATTCGATATATATGTCTGGCTTTTAGAGTCTTCCAAATCTCTGTACCTTATATTATATTTAATATTGCTAAAAGGTAGAATTTTTTAAAATTTTGTATACAACCTATATCGATAAAAGATCCTGCATCCAGTAATACAGTTAAACCTGTCTATAGCGCCCCCTCTTGGGATTCACCAAAATAGGATGCTATAGAGAGGGGCTGCTATAGACAGGTCACTTTTAATGTAAATCGCATCGTACTACGTATTTAAAATCAGGCGCTATAGAGAGGGAGGCGCTATTTAGAGGGGGCGCTATAGACAGGTTTAACTGTATTTTCATTAGTATAATTCAATAGATTTGTCTGGCTTTTAGAGTGTTCCACATTTCCTTCTCTGTACCTTATATATATTTAATACTGATAAAAGGTGGAATTTTTGTAAAACGACATTTGAAAATTATCCCGCATGTGATTCTTTTAAACGAAAAATCAAAATTTATTTTTAAGTAGAAATAACGATTATTTCCAACCTTAGGGATGAAGTATGAAGGGATGAATTGTGAAGAGTAATGATGAACGGAAAAATAAAGTGTCCAGGGATGGGAATCAAACCCACAGTGTCGCTTACCGGGCAGATGCCATGTCCACTAGGCTACCCTGGACATATTTTTCCGTTCGTAAATATTATATGAGGTAATTTATAATACAATATAACGCGGCTTATGATTGTAAAACGACATTTGAAAATTATGTGATGGATTTTTTTAATTTCACATACAACCTATATAGATTTAAGATCCTGCGTCCATTAATCTTTTCATTAGTAGAATCCGATAGATGTTCCTGACTTCTAGAGTAATCCAAATTTCTCTGTACCTTATATATATTCAATACTGCTAAAAGGTGGATTTTAATATTTCATATACAATCTATATATTGATATAAGACACCGGATATAAGACAAACCACCATTTAAGACCGAGTCTATAACACAACTCTGAAATAAGCACTGATCATATATAAAATCTATTGTATTTAAGAACCAATAAGATTAAAAACAAATTTTAAAACGTTTTCAATTCCATTTTACTATTATTTTCAAAACACAGCCATATCAACTAATGGTTTATTTAACACCCGAAGTTTCAATGACTCGCATGGCCCCTGCGCAAGGATAACACGCAAAATCGTGAAGCGTTCAGTGACTCGCATGGCCCCTGCGCAAGGATAACACGCAAAATCGTGAAGCGTTCAGTGACATGCTGTTACTCTGACATTGTCCCCCAGTGACAGCGTGTCTTTCAAACATCGGGAGTTGAAACATTGGTTGATGTATTTTTCTGAATCTACTTCCAGCCAACTAACGATCATTGGAATTATTTTTAAACTTATTTAAGACCACGTTGCTTGTCTTAAAACAGCGTATCTAAAGGTAATAAGACCAAATCCAAATAAATAAATAGTGTGTGACGTTTAGGTAACAGCGTTGTTACCATCTTCAGACGTCACACACTATTTATTTATTTGGATTTGGTCTTATTACCTTGTTTTATCATCTATAATTCAAATTGTGCCTTATCAGCGTATCTATTTGTATCCAAAATGAATATAAATATATTCATATCAAAATATAATAAATATATGTGTCACCACCCATGTCCCCACCTGACAAGTGTCAATTGAGAGTCGGCTAGAAAATGTCACCTGATATCACAAACAAACACCGATATGAATCTAAATAAGACCGGGAATTGCTGATAGTGATATTAAATATGGTGCTAAATCGAGAATCGACTATGATATTCCCAAATTAAGGTTGTTGTTGTCATGTCCAATGAAGAGCCTTAGATGTCCCCATACATCTCTATCACAGCAGTCGCAATGTCCTCTATCTTGGGTGTGTAAAGCTGCTGTTCTGGGTCCATGTCAATATTCTGTTGTTGTTGTTGTTGTCGTGTCTAATGAAGAGCCTCAGATCTCCCCATACATCTCTATCACAGCAGTCACAATGTCCACTATCTTGGGTGTGTAAAGTTGCTGTTCTGGGTCCATGTCAAATTTATGTTGTTGTTGTTGTCGTGTCCAATGAAGAGACTCAGAGTCTCCATGCATCTCTATCACAGCAGCAGCAATGTACACTATCTTGGGTGTGTAAAACTGCTGTTCTGGGTCCATGTCAAATTTATGTTGTTGTTGTTGTCGTGTCCAATGAAGAGACTCAGAGTCTCCATGCATCTCTATCACAGCAGCAGCAATGTACACTATCTTGGGTGTGTAAAACTGCTGTTCTGGGTCCATGTCAAATTTATGTTGTTGTTGTTGTCGTGTCCAATGAAGAGACTCAGAGTCTCCATGCATCTCTATCACAGCAGCAGCAATGTACACTATCTTGGGTGTGTAAAACTGCTGTTCTGGGTCCATGTCAAATTTATGTTGTTGTTGTTGTTGTGTCCAATGAAGAACCTCAGATGTCCCCATACATCTCTATCACAGCAGCAGCAATGTACACTATCTTGGGTGTGTAAAACTGCTGTTCTGGGTCCATGTCAAATTTATGTTGTTGTTGTTGTTATGTCCAATGAAGAACCTCAGATGTCCCCATACATCTCTATCACAGCAGCAGCAATGTACACTATCTTGGGTGTGTAAAACTGCTGTTCTGGGTCCATGTCAAATTTATGTTGTTGTTGTTGTTGTGTCCAATCAAGAACCTCAGATGTCCCCATACATCTTTATCACAGCAGTAGCAATGTCCACTATCTTGGGTGTGTAAAACTGCTGTTCTGGGTCCATGTCAAATTTATGTTGTTGTTGTTGTTGTGTCCAATGAAGAACCTCAGATGTCCCCATACATCTCTATCACAGCAGCAGCAATGTCCACTATCTTGGGTGTGTAAAACTGCTGTTCTGGGTCCATGTCAAATTTATGTTGTTGTTGTTGTTGTGTCCAATGAAGAACCTCAGATGTCCCCATACATCTCTATCACAGCAGCAGCAATGTACACTATCTTGGGTGTGTAAAACTGCTGTTCTGGGTCCATGTCAAATTTATGTTGTTGTTGTTGTTGTTGTGTCCAATGAAGAACCTCAGATGTCCCCATACATCTCTATCACAGCAGCAGCAATGTCCACTATCTTGGGTGTGTAAAACTGCTGTTCTGGGTCCATGTCAAATTTATGTTGTTGTTGTTGTTGTGTCCAATGAAGAGCCTCAGATGTCCCCATACATCTCTATCACAGCAGCAGCAATGTACACTATCTTGGGTGTGTAAAACTGCTGTTCTGGGTCCATGTCAAATTTATGTTGTTGTTGTTGTTGTGTCCAATGAAGAGCCTCAGATGTCCCCATACATCTCTATCACAGCAGCAGCAATGTACACTATCTTGGGTGTGTAAAACTGCTGTTCTGGGTCCATGTCAAATTTATGTTGTTGTTGTTGTTGTGTCCAATGAAGAGCCTCAGATGTCCCCATACATCTCTATCACAGCAGCAGCAATGTACACTATCTTGGGTGTGTAAAACTGCTGTTCTGGGTCCATGTCAAATTTATGTTGTTGTTGTTGTTGTGTCCAATGAAGAGCCTCAGATGTCCCCATACATCTCTATCACAGCAGCAGCAATGTACACTATCTTGGGTGTGTAAAACTGCTGTTCTGGGTCCATGTCAAATTTATGTTGTTGTTGTTGTTGTGTCCAATGAAGAACCTCAGATGTCCCCATACATCTCTATCACAGCAGCAGCAATGTCCACTATCTTGGGTGTGTAAAACTGCTGTTCTGGGTCCATGTCAAATTTATGTTGTTGTTGTTGTTGTGTCCAATGAAGAGCCTCAGATGTCCCCATACATCTCTATCAGAGCAGCAGCAATGTACACTATCTTGGGTGTGTAAAACTGCTGTTCTGGGTCCATGTCAAATTTATGTTGTTGTTGTTGTTGTGTCCAATGAAGAACCTCAGATGTCCCCATACATCTCTATCACAGCAGCAGCAATGTACACTATTTTGGGTGTGTAAAACTGCTGTTCTGGGTCCATGTCAAATTTATGTTGTTGTTGTTGTTGTGTCCAATGAAGAGCCTCAGATGTCCCCATACATCTCTATCACAGCAGCAGCAATGTACACTATCTTGGGTGTGTAAAACTGCTGTTCTGGGTCCATGTCAAATTTATGTTGTTGTTGTTGTTGTGTCCAATGAAGAGCCTCAGATGTCCCCATACATCTCTTTCACAGCAGTCGCAATGTCCACTATCTTGGGTGTGTAGTTGCTGTTCTGGGTCCATGTCAAATTTATGTTGTTGTTGTTGTTGTCGTGTCCAATGTAGAGCCTCAGATGTCCCCATACATCTCTATCACAGCAGCAGCAATGTACACTATCTTGGGTGTGTAAAACTGCTGTTCTGGGTCCATGTCAAATTTATGTTGTTGTTGTTTTCGTGTCCAATGAAGAACCTCAGATGTCCCCATACATCTCTATCACAGCAGCAGCAATGTACACTATCTTGGGTGTGTAAAACTGCTGTTCTGGGTCCATGTCAAATTTATGTTGTTGTTGTTGTCGTGTCCAATGTAGAGCCTCAGATGTCCCCATACATCTCTATCACAGCAGCAGCAATGTACACTATCTTGGGTGTGTAAAACTGCTGTTCTGGGTCCATGTCAAATTTATGTTGTTGTTGTTGTCGTGTCCAATGAAGAGCCTCAGATGTCCCCATACATCTTTGTCACAGCAGCAGCAATGTACACTATGCTCTTCATTGGAAAATGGATGCCATTGCCACGTTAGTCACCTTGGACCAGAATTTGGTCAAATATTCCAAGGGTCCAGGCAGAACTGGTGTGGTCGGACTTCTCCCTAAATTAAGGTATGAAGTTGTTTTGTTGGATGGCGGTGATCATGAATCCATGGTGTACATTTAAGTAGAAAACATTTTAAAATATCTCTATTTTAAAGATTAAGAGAAAAGCATCTCTCTCCTGATCGTGCAACTGCTTTTTCTTATCCCCTTGTGTAAAGATTACACGAATTCCATAAGTCAATCTCATAGAATGGGGTGTATGGGTGCAGCTTTCGTTGATCATGGCACCATGAATCAGGCACACTTTGGTGAAAGTCTGACTTTGCCTGTAGTTTGAGGTCGTTCCTAACATGGAAGCAGACGCCTTGCTGCCGACTCTAACATGAGTACAGAGGCAGCTCTTCCGTATCCCTGGAGAGGTCCATCAACCAGGTCAGTTTTGTGAACTCAGGATTTTTAAAGAGTTATTTCTCCCCTTTCTAACAATACTGCTGTTGGTCCACGACTGCTTAATTGTCAGAGTTATATTTCTTGTTTCGCAGCTGGCCTTCATATCTGAAGGTTGTTCCCCTATCCGCCACCTGGGGACGCGCCCTGTCAGCTCTGCCGATGGCTTGGGCCATCTGTCGGAATAAATATAAACTAATCGTTAAAAAAATAACAAATCGAGGTAAATCTATTCTATACTTGATTATATGTCTGTTTCTTTTGTTCGTTGACAGACCTAATTGACGGGTGCTCTATGGTTTCGAACAATGACCTTCATTAATTCTAAGTGGCTTCCACATCATAAGATCCAATATGATAGTATAGTAGAGTCTCCCATGGGAGACCATAGACTAAAAACATGGCTAGACTCGGTCA